CACAGTTCTAACAAGGATACATGCTAGTATAACAGTGTGGATACATGCTAGCCTCCGAAGGAAGTAGACGATTGTGCAGAAGGACAGGGAAGTGACTCAGAACAGGTGATGGGTGTAAGAACGGCACTTTCCTCCACTGCAAGGCTCCATGGCAGGAAGAGTTGGCCGCTGAAGTGAACCAGAGGACAGGTTCCAACTGGAGCAGGACAGTGAAGGGGATATTCTGGGAGGTCACTAATACAGGGAACTGAGATTTCACTAGAAAAACTATATTCCTTAGCAACTGTGTGGGAATACCAAGCAACTTCCATCTTTAAAATATGCTAAAGTAATTTCCAGGGCTCAAATTAATTCGTTGGGCTCTTTAACAGACCACAAGCTAGGCAGCTTAAACCAACAGAAACACTGCCTCATAGCTCTGGAGGCTGTGGGTCTAAAATCAAGTGCAGCCATGTTTTCTCAGAAACGTGTCTAGGAACATCCTCTGTCGTGTCTTCTAGATCCCAGAGACTGCTAGCAGCCCCTGGTGTTCCTTCAGCTGGTCAATGCTGCACCCTGACCTCCGCCTCCATTGTCACTGGGGTTCACCCTGTGTGTATTTGTCTCTTTGTTTTATGAGGACACACATCACACTGGATTAAGGGCCCCACCCTCTTCCAGTATGACCTTATCTGAACTAATCACATTTGCAATGGCTGATTTCAAACAAGGCCACACCTTTGGGTGTGTTGGAGGCTAAAGCTTCAACAAATCTTCCCGAGAGCCCCTAACAGAGGTGGAGAAAAAGAACAGCTTTTCTGGAATGTGTTTGTAGTTTAAGTCTCTCAATTATGTGTCCCGCTCAGTAAACAGGACTTGGAACCCAAGTGTTTTATAAATTCTCATTACAAAATGAATGATAACCCAAACAGGCAAAAGGAACGTGCACCATGGACATGATCTAAAAGCCAAGCAACACAGAAGCAGCTATGATGTGGCAGGCTGGCACCTTTGAACCAACGGGGGAGTGCCCTGCTCCAAAGGAAGCACAGGGCTTCTGGCTGAGGGGCTCGGAGTGCTTTCGAGTCTCTCCACTTGAAAATGTCAGACCATAAGGTTCACAAGCTCACAGTTCTGTGTGGAGGAAAGCTTGTGATAACGTGATGCTAAGACACTCATCAGTGAGAGATGTCTTGTTATGACATGCAGACGGAACGAGGGTGAGGGGTTTTTAATAGGGAGCCACTCATTCCAGGGCTCAACCCCCTAGCTGTGGCTGAAACTCTATCTGCACACTCTGCCTGTGTTTGAGTGTACACTGTGGAGGCCAAAGGTCAACCTCAGCGTCTTTCCGAGTTGTGCTCTACCTTTCTTGTTTTGAGACAGGATTTTTTTGTTGTTCCAAAGCTCCCTGGTTTGGCCAGGTTGGTCAGCCAGCAAGCTTGGGATGTGCCTTCCTGGCACTGGGATTACAAGCATGAATCTTTACATTCTACTTTTTACATGGGTTCCGGAGCTCAGACTTAGGTAATTGCGCTTGCCTGGCAAGTACTTTACCATTGATCCACATCCCCTACTCCCCCAGCTCTTCTTGATTAAGTCACAGGAATCAGGCTTCCATATTTGGCAATGTATAAGACCTAGGATATGCAGCTTATTACTGTGCATGCGCTCGGTGCTGGGCGCTATACCTGCCCTGTGACTCTCAGACTAACCTGCATTTTGTACCTGCAGAAAGCTCCTGCTAAGTTTCTACTGGGATGCCAAATCTTGGCCAAAAAATACTAGTGGATAATTCCAGTTCCTCATATCCAATGTGCAGGTAGGCAGGCAGCAAGTCATTTCTTCAGAAGGAATGCAAATAATTTGACCCACTGCCTATTCTGAATTGCAGGAGTTCAAACACATGAGGTTCATTCTGCTGAGGGAAGTGATCTGACGACTCTTCCAACCTTGGAAGAGTGGAGCCGGCATTTCAGAAGGCAAGGTGAGGCTGTGGCTTATTACTGGAAGGTAATGGCTTTCATGAAAGATGCAGAATCCAACTGTTTGATAGTATATCTAGCCTTTCCTCCTCCAGACACAGCTGGTAAGGAATGAAGAAGCCCACTCGATTACTCTAATTGAATTCCAACTTGGGTAATTATACCATAATTAAATAAATTTTCCCCATAGTTTTAATTCACTGACAAATAGTGCTAGTCAAACAGCTTCATTTCATTCCTAGACATGCATCCCCACTACATTTCCGGGAGAAGTGGAGTGATTTATATTTGGAAGATGTGTGTGTTGAAAAACTGCACAGTTCATAAAATATTTTAGGTATCATTTATGATTACATATGCTTTGCTCAGCATGAGATAACATTAATTTCTATTATACTCTTTCATCTAATTTCTCATATGCTTACTGCCAAAGGAAATAAGACAGTTAATTAGCATTTCTTATTTTCAGAACAACTTTTGTTGAGTTAGCCAGTGGCCTGGATCTACTTGTAGTTTTGACATTTCTTTACAGCACATTTTGTTGTCCTTGAGAGCTGGACTGCATTAGGAGTTTCTGCTTTCCATTTTACAAACGGGACCTGTTGTGGTAGTATTCCCAGGATTAGGGAATGAGTTGTAGTAGGCACCAGCTTTGGGATCTCAGCTGCCTCAGATCTCCTAGCTCAAGGTTCTTTTTCTCAAAAACGATCCAACACCAGGTCACTATTAATCACTTAGCTTTACTGAGAAAGAAAAGGATGAGTAGTGCATGTGTGATCCATGCCATAGGTCACTGTTTTATGATAATTAATGATTTACCCAGGAGCTGCAGGCCTAATCGCTAGGACCAGCTGCTGTCCCTGGATTGCAAGGCTGTGGGATTTTCTGGGTCTCAGGGATAATTCTCTGGGCTCCGCCGGGAGGGGAGATCAAAACGTGTCACCAAGTTGTACCGAAGGATCCAGATTTCAGAGTTATTCTAAGGACTAAAGGTTTTGAAGAAGGCTTGGGAGGTGGGGGGTCTTTTTTCCCCCTCATGGTGCTAGGATGCAAATTCAGGCCTTGAGCATGCTAGGAAAGGCATCTACCACCGAGTCACATCTGTAGTCCAGTAGATAGTATTTAATAAAATATGTCAATAACAGACATGAAAGGCAATACCAAAGTACTCACGAAAAGCAGCAGTAGCAATGGTGTCACGACAATGCCCTGAAAGAAATAAGAGAGAGAATGATTGTTTGTTGGCCTAGAAAGCATACTTCTTCCCCCATTTTGTGGGAACGCTAGTCACACTAGTCCTCTTACTCCTAACAAAATGAGGAGAGGTGGCTCTGCTACCATCACATCGATGTCGCCTAGTGACTGTTTGGATAAGGCCACACTGAAGTTACAGGCCCGTGCTCCTTACACCGCCTTCCCTCCGTTTCAACCTAAACTCCCTTCTCCACTGCACAGGCCCTGCAGGGGTGGAACCTGGCGGTTGGTAAGTCCCCTCACTCAAGGCCGTCTACTCTACTTTGGGTAAAGTGCCCCTTTTTGAGAGAAGACAGGTGGGTTAGTCCCAGTTGGGGTCCTCTCCTGAGCAAAGACCACGTCGGCTGTGATGAATGAGATGTCATGATTTTGTAATGTGAACTGATCTCCCCCAGGAAATGAGCTGCGATCTCCAAACTCATTTCGCTTGATTAGACTCTGTGTCTCCATGGCGGAAGGGAAGTCTTTCATCTAATTCAGCCACACAGGACCACCTCAGTCCCTCTGCCTCCCCCAGGCAGAAATGAGCAAAAGATTTGTTTTCTTCGATGACAGGGAACAGTTTGAGGCTGTTGTCAATGAGGCAGGATACAAGCTTTTAGCTTTGCTTAAAAGCACACATTTGAGTTGGAAGTCAACATGACAGGCTTCACTTGAGAGCAGCAGACAAGGATGTGTCTTAGTTCTTCCTTTATTACTCAGAGCTTTGTTGTGATTTACACAAGAAAAAGCATTTCATATTTTTATTAATGCACTCTGTTTGAGACTTTGAAATTTTAGAGTCTGAATGTATGTGTGCATGTATAAGAGACAGAGAGACAGAGAGACCAAGGGCTGCCTTTTTCACCCATAAACAGTCCTTTTGGTATTTAGAAGGAAGTCTTTGGTCTTTGCTGTTACTACACAGTTGTGAACATGGCATAAGAAACGTATACTATGGGAACAATAATTGTAATGATTCTTTTAGTTTATACTCATGTGAATATCCTTATACAGACTTGCTTTGCTATTGGATAATAGAATGAATATTGTTTACTGTGCGAACTTAAGCAAGTGGCCAGAGGGAGCAGAGCAGTGGGAGGGTCATACTTTAAATCTCTTCATTACAGCATGCACTGTGGCTTTATCAGTTCCATGGGTTTCTATGAAGCATGACTCACATTTTGGAGGGCTAGGTGTACCAACCCCAAATAATTTGAATTTAGAAAGGCTACTGCCTGAGGCTGAGGGTGGATCTCAGAGGCAGAGTGTTTGTCCTGCAGGAACAAGGCTCTGAGTTTGATCACCAGAACTTTAATAATAATAAAGAAAGACGGCTGCTAGATTTCATTCTTACAATTACATTTATTCTGTGTGTTTGCGTGTACACATGCACACACAAGGCATGTGTGAAGGTCAGAGGACAACTTATAGAAGCCCATTCTCTTTCCACCATGTAGGTCCTGGGGATCAAATTCAGGCCATGACACTTTGGCAGCAAGTAACTTTACAGGCCTGAAAAGGTACTTCCGTCTTTAGTGATTTGGAATATATTTGGAATTTAGGTGGAATTCCAAGCTTTACAAAGTAATGTAAAAGTGAAAACAAACTGGTTGTTAAACCTCTCAACTTCATGATAAGTTTTAGAAACATTTATCAAACATCCATTTAAACACCAGCTCTGTGCTCCTTCATGGCTGATTGAGGGTGAATCCAACGCGGCTCCTATATTTCAATAGCTAACAGCCTAGAGACAAGTTCAGTACAGAGTGAGGTGTAAAGCCAAATATTCCGATGTAAGAGAAGTAGTGTGAAAGAGGGTGATTATTTACCTTTGGGAGGTTTCCTGGTGGAAGAGATACTGGGGTTGGAGAATTCATGGGAAGTGATCTGGTAGGAGAAGGGCTAGCCCAGGAAGGGCGAGGCACCCCACAGCCATGAGAACTTGAGCAGGAAAGCACAGACACACGCGAAGCAAAGCAGGTAGAGAGCCGTTCCGCTGGCCTCTGGGGCCTGCTGGCCTCTGGGGCCTGCTGGCCTCTGAGCAAAGCAAGCTGCCCGGTTACAGAGAGTTCATAGTTCAGTGTGTGGGATGTGGACTTGAAGTGCCTTGTAACCTAACTAGTCCTGGCCTCGGCCTGTTAATCCACCTAAACGCAAACAAACACAACAGCAACTTGCTTTATGTTATGTTTTGTCACCAGCACTAACTAGTGGCGCTGCTGAGAAACGCCGTGACATCTGTGATGGGCTAAGACATTTCTGTGTAGGAGAGGCTGAGCACGCACTCTGGTGACATTTGTACTAGAGCTGATGGCGTGCTGGCTGTCACACAGTGCCTAGGGCCCACTGTTCTTCCTGATGGCCATTTCATTTTTCTTTATAATAACCAGATGCCAGTGGGATTAGTAAGAACATAAATCCTATCAATGCTGTTTTGCTTCAGCACATTCATGTATGTTTTAAAACGGGACTCTCCCTGACATAAGGGGTGAGTTACACTGCGGCTCTCTCCTCTACCTGGGGAAAGAAGGGTTCTGAAAGGCCAAGCAACCCAACACAAGGTCACATAGCAAAGACGGCACAAGTTGGGGTGAGCCAGCATCATCCAGCTCTAAGTTCCTGGTCCCTTGGAAGCGGAGCTCTACCACCAGCACCACTTCCTGCCGAATTCTACCCTAACACACGGGGGGGGGGGGGGGGGGGGGGCAGCTGGCATAGAACCTGGGGCCTAGTTGATAAGTGCCTCTCGGAGATGATTGCACTCTGGAAAGCACAACACAGGTATCTGAGCTTTCTCTGTTCAGAACTCCAAATGTGCAGTAACCTATACAATAATTTCTTTCTTGTTCTACCAAGGACTAACAACATTCAGTCCTGAGATATGAAGATTTGCTGGACAGGATGCACCATATAATTCTGACTTGAATATTCCTCATTATTTTTCAATAAGGGTGGTTCAAGTTCATTAACTATGACTAGATTATTAGAAATGCTGAACCCCTTGTTCAGTTATATTAGGTACTGAGTCATCTCCAATGCCATCAGCTGTGGTCTGAGCACTATTAAGTTTGGGTAAAGTCATCAGGATTATTACCACACATATAACAACCCATATTTATTAAGTATTCATGTCAGATACTGTGCTAAGGACTTGATGTCTATTATTTTATGAAATCTTCAGAACCACCCTATGAGCTCTGCACTATAATTATCCTTATATGAGGTAAGGAGCTAAACCTTGGACACAGAGAGGAAAGTGTGGAGGCCATTTGTTTCTTTCACTTCAGAGCCCAAACTCTTGAATGATGATTATACAGTCTTCAGTGACCCGAAAGATGGCTCAGAGTAAAGGTGTTTGCTGTTTGGTGATGCAGGCCACATGGCCTAAGTTCCTAAGGCTGGAACCCATTTAAAGGAGGAAGGAGACAACTGACTTCCACATGTTCACTGTGACAAGCCCCACCCTTACCCCTCCACATACATACACAAAATTATAAATAAATTAAATGAAAAATTAACATATTTATAATAAATGTTAAGCCATTTCATTGGAGTTCTATTTTAAGGGTTAAATCAGAGAGGAGCTTAAAAACTCAATGTGTTTTCTGATGACATGAACTAGACCATAAAGTGAGCACTGTGTGCTGTGGCTAATACAGTCCTCTAAAGCCTGGCTTTTGCAAACATCAGTGGTACAGGTGGGGAAGGTGTGCACTCAAATTTAAAGTGGTGTTAGCAATGAACACTAAAAGACAGAGCATCAAAT